CACAGCACAGATAGCCCATTGTGTAGCTTTGCGCTTACCAACAAACAAACGAGATGTAAAAAACATAAGTCCGCGGAGTGACACAATTGTCGATTGTGTAATTTGACTTGCAACTCAATTTCGCGAAGGAATTTTACGACTTCTTTACACATAATTTTGGTTTTTAAAAAGATTTAGTAGTGATTACTTTCTTCTTATTATCGCTTGCCAATTTGGAGTTTTAAGGACAATTTATTTGTTGAATATCGCGTAAGGCTACAAGAGGACGAGCTGCGTTAGCCGTCCCTACTTTTGAAATGATAGGCTATGCATCAATAGCACTCATTATAAATTCTTGAGCTCCTCTTGTCTGACCGAATAGTAGGATTTGACCGTCACCATTATAACGCACCTAAGACACCAAAATGTGGAGCGCTATTTTTCTTGTATATATTTTTACTAACGGGAAGCGAACAATGGACCATACTCAGGTACGCTAGCCACAGAGTCACGCTCTGCCCTTCGGAGAAAAATTCGACTGCTTGAAACATTTTGTCACATCAAAAGTATGATGTGACTATAGATTGCACTAATAGTTTATAAAGTATTGTACGCGATCCAGGGGGTATAACTATATAGAAGGTGTTTATAAAGTCTTGTACGTGATCCAGGGGGTATAACTATATAGAAGGTGTTTATAAAGTCTTGTACGTGATCCAGGGGGTATAACTCACGTATGGCATACGTGACACAATGATACAAGATGTCGCCACCAGACGGCGCTCTATTTATTGCTACAGTGCATCTGCATCACTGATTCTTAGTTTTTAGCACAGCTTCGCTAAGGGTGTTATTATTTATATTTTTCGGACTTGTTCCTATTACTCGGTTACCTCATGAAACAACATTTGCGGGATCTGATTTCACATTGGGTCGAGAGCATGCCCAGCGCCCTCTGCAATTTATTTAATATCGCCAGACATGACAATCTAGATATTAATAAATGTGAGAGAATGCCGTTTGAATCCAAGAATCAAAAATCGATTTTTTACGAGCAGATTGTTTGGTTGTTTTTTGAATTTCGCGCAAACCTACACGAGGGCTATCTGCGCTAGCCATCCCTAATTTAGCAGTGTAAGACTAGGGGGAAGGCAGCTAGTCCTTACCACCCACCGCCAACTGTTGGGCTACTCTTTTACCAACGAATAGTGGGATTGACTGTCACATTATAACTCCCCCACGGCTGAAAGGGCAAGCATGTTTGGTGGGACGGGGATTCGAACCCTAACCACCTGGCTTTATGAGCAGAAGAAGGACATTAATATTATGTAAGCACCTCAACTATAAAAAAATAATCTGGAACTTATATCTCCTCATTATATATATACTGAGATTTGTATAGTCACATGCATAGATTGAGGGGGGTATTTTAGTGAATATTTTTTTCTATCGTTCTTACGAATTTGTACAACACAGCTCATGAAGTCATTAGCCTCTCCCCCCCAGTAAATGTTTCCTATCACTGGGGGCGTGGTGCTCTTTAAACCCTTAGCATAGCATCTGACACTTTTCTATGATGTTGACGAAAACCTGCACTTTGAAATAAACCTTTGAAGCCAGTTTGTTCAACAAGAAATGAAGATTACAACAAAAGGTAAAATTTGGGAAACATAGATGAACTGGCCATTTATTTAATACTCTTACTGTTTCGTCCAAATTTCTTGTACGTGATCCAGGGGGTATAACTATATAGAAGGTTTTTATAAACACCTTCTATATAGTTATACCCCCTGGATCGCGTACAAGATTTTATAAACACCTTCTATATAGTTATACCCCCTGGATCGCGTACAATACTTTATAAACACCTTCTATATAGTTGCACTCTCATGACCTAATCTTTTAATTAACTTACAATTTCGAAAAGATAACAACGTCGGTGGTAACAGCGGTGAAGGTAGAAATTCTTTAATGAAATACAGGGAATGCCGCCTGTAGTTTTTTTTTATTATTATTATTACCCCTTCATTTGCGGACACGGCTCAAAGGGTGGTTTGAAGACGAATTTAACTCATCCATAATTTAACTGCAGGAACTCAAAATGTACTCGGGAAATTTGCGTCGAAGAATAAAAGACCCCGTAATATTATTTTGTAATTTTGCAGATATTAATGTTTAATATACACAAGTGTTTATTATATATGTGAACTTTAAAAACAAAAAAACGAACGTGAAGCAGAGTTTCGCCATATTTTACACGAACGAACGTAACTAGTTTAAAGTTTGAACGCAACTCGTTATAACTCACCTAGCCGGTCCACCATAGGGCGTGGCCGACGTTGGCTCACCACTCTGGCCCCTCCCTCGCCACAAAAGTAAAATCTAGCGTTTTTACGAAGCCGATTTCCGTAACTTCTTGTAGGTTACCCCCCTTCCCCTTTTAAAAAATCCTGGACACGCCAGTGCAATTCTTTAGGAGACTAGGTTTTAAACAAAGAATTGAAGAGATACGTCAGATTAAATAAACAAACAATATTTTTTTTTGGCTTTCGCGTAAAACTACTCGAGATCTATCTGCTTTAGACGTCCCTATTTTTCGGGAAGATATCTTATCAACACCACCCACCGCCAATTCTTAGGCTACTCTCTTACGAATGAAAATTGGAATTGACCTTTACATTATAGCGCACCTACAGGATTCCAACCCGCGACCTGAAGATTGCGAGTCGAGCGCCCTAACTACCAGGCCCTAATATTAGCTATAATATTAAGTGCAGAAGTATCTAAATAAGAGTCCCCCTAGTGATTAGCGTGCCTGGACCGTGAATTCGAGAATTTGTGGTTTATTTGGCGCAGCTGTTATTCTAAAAGAAATATACTGTAAATACTCGAAACCTTTTAACCCTTCAACTGCGGTTGACATCATGCGCAACATTTGAATGGCCCGCCGAAGAGATATGCGAATCTTTGCGCATGCGGTGGTAGGCAGATTTACACAAAAACGGCGGCTACAACTTACAAGAACACATCTGAGAAACTCGCGTTAAACGACCGTTCACGAAAATCAAACTACATTACAACCTTTTAAGCTGTGAAACGACGGCTACATCACCCGAACATTTGCATAACGGATAATGTCTGTGGCCGTAGCACCCATCTATCAGACAAGATCCAAACTCAGATGTCCAACTCGCCAGCAACTACAGAGAATCAATTAAGGGTTAGTAGTTGAGTGCTTTAACCCACAACGTCTCAACTCCTACTGATTTTCTCTCTCTGCAGGTAGTTAACCTTAATATTTAGATATAACCTTAAAGTAGAATTAAATCGCCCTAAATTTCTACTATGTAAAACTCCCAACCTCCACCCTTTTATTTAATAGTTACAAAATTATTTTAAACAGAACTAAAACCCTTAATTTTTATATAGTTACAAGACTCCCCACCTCCACCCTTTTATTTAATAATTACAAAATTATTTTAAACAGAACTAAAACCCTTAATTTTTATATAGTTACAAGACTCCCCACCTCC